GCTGAGGCCAAAGTCTTCTCTTACAAGATGAGGCACAGAAGGAGTAGAAGACCTTACCTTCTTTGGCTAATGATAAGCTGCAGGGAATTGTCCTCCCTGATAAATACCTAATCAGCATTCAGAAGAAAATGGGGATGGATCCCCATGGCATAACTTGTCCAGACCTTCCTGGGGGATGCTGAGATCTCTGCTCCCTTTGAGGTCTGTGAAGATAAGGCAAGGCTCAGTCCTGACTCTGACCATTCTCCTCTCCAGCCCGTGGGAAAAATGACTCAGGCAGCTTTGATTCTGTCCATGCCAGAGGAATCCTCTTCTTCAAAGTCTTCCTGAAGCTGGTGGAGTTGGCGGCTCTGCCCCAGACAACTCTGTTTCAGATTATCAGGTGAGCTCTGTGAGACAGAGGAGGGAGGTCCCCATTTTACTGGGACATTTGTGCCTTATGTAACAAAATGTACAGAACACAGGGGCCCCAAGACTAGATTTCCAGAAATGTTTCATATCTAGCTGGACATCCACAAGCACCTGTGCAGCTCAGGCACCTGCTCTACAAAGACACTGTTGTAAATGCCACCATGTGTCTAGCACACACTTCTGTGGTGTAAATACCCTCACGTACCCAGTATTTCCAGGCATGCGGGTGCCCAGCAGCCAGTGCTGAGCGGGGCCTTGGGCTGTGTTTCACAGGACAATGACGCCCTCTTTTGTCTTCTAGTTACTACCAGCAGAAGCTCAGGGACCGCGCTGGCAAAAGTGTCTGGCCGGATGATGACTTCCTCAAGTGTCACAAAAAGAAGCCCCACAAAATTCGGGAAGAGCCAGTTTACCCTATGCCTTCCTCTGTAAGCGCTGCCCGTGTCTCAGCCATGAACAAAAGGGAGGCAGCAGCTTATGTGGAGAACAGAAAAGGTAAGGCTTGCACACTGTCACTCCCACTCTGTCTGAAAGGGAAGTCACTGGAGCTGTGAGGGTGACAACCTGGCTGGGACATTTGCCACAGCTTCTTCTGCTCCATCCTGGCACGTGGCCTTCTCCAAAGGTGGAGGATCAGTGCTTCTGGTACTGAGTTCAGCAAGGGTCTGGGTCAGCCCTGTGTTAGCAAACCTTTCCCAAGAGGGTCACAGAAATCGGAGCCGAAGTAGACCTTGGGAATCCATCCAGCTCAAAACCTTTCCAGGGCAAGAAGCAAAATCAAACTGCTATAGTGGGTTCTGCTCATACAGGTGAAGGAATTGCCCTCCAGAGGTGTCTGTGCAAGGCGGCTGCCGTAAACACCCCACTACAAAGCTGTCAGCAGCGGGTGAGCTCTGGGTTACCCCAACACATACAGGCACCTCTGCACCATGGATTGCCGCAGGTTAAGCACCTCAACGCTGTAGTAAAGTGGTTGGTGTCTTTGTGTCTCTATGCCTGCTACCATCGGGCATGCCGGCTGGCAGCTCCTGTGACTTGTGGGTCAGAGGAAGGAGGAATTCAGGACCTACTGAGTCCTTCCCCAGCGAGAGGGGACACACCAAGAGGCAGGAGGCAGCTGGCTGTTGGCCGCACAGTCAGTGACTCTGGTTCCTACTTCCCTTTGCCCCGTTCAGGCAGCCCTTACGCCCAGGTACCCATCTTCCCGCTGGTTTCTAAACAAGACGCGATGACACTGGCGAAGCCAAAAACGGGCTTGCAGAAGGTGGCGAGGCAGAGGAATGAGCCAACCGCTTGGCTTAGGAGCCACATCTCTCATGAGAGAAACCGGGTGCAGGAGGTGAGAGACGAGTGATGCTTCAGCTGTGTAACAGCATCAGAGGAGGTGTGGGGACAAGCCTGAAAACACATGCTTTGTTTAATCAGGCAGCTGCTTTCAATCCTCCTGTTCAACATAGAAAGCAGAGACACTCCCCTGCCATCAACACCGAGCGCTCAAATACACCACATCATCTGACAACAGCCAGCCCGGGCAAGAAACGAGTGCAAGTGAGTGTGAAACGTAGAGGGAAGATGTGACCCTTTGTCGTACGGGGCTGCAATTAAAGCAGAACTAAGTGTGACTGGTCACTCATGTAACTATTCATTAACTGTCTGGTGAATGTTTTAACTAGACACAGGTATTAAAGAGCAATTTTGTCATAAGTGCAAGGAAAAATGAAACCAGAAGTATAATAATAGCTTAGTTGTTTATTACTGTTAATCGTCAGCATGAATTGGTTATAACCTGTCAGCACCGCATCACAATGTGCCACTGAGTTGCTTTTTGTTGTGTATATACATACGTGGTATGTGTGCCCACCTGGCAAAGCTGTCTGATTTCCCCCTCTATGGTCCCCTGCCTCCCCTTTCAACTTCTCTCCCTCCTCCCAGACGGCGCGGGCAGCCAAGCAGCCCAGGTACAGCCCAGCCCTCTGCCAGCGCCACAGCCTGCTGAAGCTGTGGCAGAAGATGGGCCTGCAGACGGGCAGCGAGCACTTCCACCACACCTTCTCCACCTACTCCTGGTCGTGGAACGCCTGCCGGGAGCTGGTGACGGTGGCCGACCTCCACCGACCGGACCGCCCGCTTCGTCG